GAGAAGAGAAGAGAAGAGAAGAGAAGAGAAGAGAAGAGAAGAGAAGAGAAGAGAAGAGAAGAGAAGAGAAGAGAAGAGAAGAGAAGAGAAGAGAAGAGAAGAGAAGAGAAGAGAAGAGAAGAGAAGAGAAGAGAAGAGAAGAGAAGAGAAGAGAAGAGAAGAGAAGAGAAGAGAAGAGAAGAGAAGAGAAGAGAAGAGAAGAGAAGAGAAGAGAAGAGAAGAGAAGAGAAGAGAAGAGAAGAAGAGCATATTCTGGCCTGTGCATCAAGGAGAAACACATTTTGCCCAGATCTACAAGCTTGCAAAGCCTCCTCTTCATCCTGAAGGAAAATTTATTCCTTTTCATTCTTTCAGGCTTGGCAGGACTTGCTCTCTGAGCTGTGAAGGCACCACATGGCACTTGTGCCACTGGAAGAGTGGAAGCCGAAAATCACCTTCCCACTGAGCAGGGCTCAATACAAGCTACCCAACAAACTCAGCCTGCCATGGGAAACAAACACAAGTCACTGAGTCAGCCTGCTTTTAGGGACTCTTTTTTTTTTATTAGAGAAATTTTATTAGAGAATTTTATTAGAGAATTTTTTTGTATTAAAGAAAAGAAAGAGCCTGACCAAAGCTCTGGACAGCTTCCTTTTCTACAAGGCAGAGTGGCACATCTTTATCTCGCCACTGCATCATGGAGGGCCCTTATGTATCATAAGATGCAATTATTCCATGATTTCACTTATAATAATCAGATAAAAGGTATCTACAGGAAATTAAAATCTGTAGTCCTCTAGTTTCGTGGAAAATTTCACTGGTGACAGAAAATCTTACACAGAAATAGAATCCTTTACTGAACATCTGCATCCTCTTCTGACCTTGGCCACTTTTACCTAGGACGATCTTCATACTCACCTCATAAATATTTACATGATCTATAAAAATGCTTCTAGATTCACTCTCAATTCCAGCAGCATCTCAGAATACATTCTGCAAAACACCTTAACCCATATAGTGCCCTGCAGCTTAGTGGCTAGCAGTGCAAATTCTTGCCAACCATAAAAAAGACAGATAAAAGATAATTTATTGGTGCATCTGTGCCTGTCATCGGAGGAGCATAAAGAGTTTTATGCAGAAGATTTCTCTGAAGACATTTTGAGGGTCATAATCTCACTTGAGTAATGCCCAGGTTCATATCCTATATTTTATTTTCATCAGTGGAGAATCTGTCCAATTACAATATGGAAATTTGGAGGGAGGAGGGGGGAAAAAAGAGAATAGCAATGAAATAATACTCTTCTAAGTTTAATACTTAAAATTAAGTTTAATACTTAATATAAATTTAATAATTTAATTAGTTTAAATAAATAAACTTTTAAATAAAAAGTTTAATTTAATAACATTAAGTTTAATACTTAATCCTCCTAGCATGCCTGTAGAATGGTGACCAAACTCCTTGGCTTCAGATCTGCAGAGTCAGTTTGGGGGCTCCTGGAACTGCTGCCAAGAAACTGGGTAAAACAAACACTTTCAAAGCACTTTATCACAAATCAGACATTTCTAATAAAAAAATTTATCTTTGCATTATAAGTTCTAAAGTGAATTAAGAGAACAGTATAGCAGCAGGTGGTGAGGGAACACATATGGAAGTTAAGTCCAAGGCTGTCCTGGTGTCTTCAAGAGAGATCAGGATGTTAAATATACAGCTCTCAGACAACTTGTTTTGTACAGCTGCAGCACTGCTGGACACAATCTGGCTGTTGTGTTCTTCATTTTTAAGGGTATGCCCTGTATTTTTATTTTTTTTTAGTTGATAGACTTCAAGCAAAACATAAACTAAAAGCTAAAGTAGTCCATCTACCTGTATTTTCTCTTTAATTCGTAGCACTTACACCAACATAAAAGCAAATCACACCAAATTAAAAACATTGACTTTAACATCCACAAGGTGCCTATTCACATCTCACAAGTAGGATGGAAAGATGAAGAGTAGCCAGTCCCATAATTAATAAACACAACAATCACACTCTTTTACACATTTGCTGGAAGACATATTCCAGATGGTCTCAAAGTTAATGAAACACTAGTTAATAAATCCACATCCACATGCCCTTCTAGCCTATTTTTTTTGGTAAAACTTCAGCCTGTTGCTGTATCCCTGCATCCTTTAGTGAGATGCTAAGGGTGCATTTTCACTTCTGTACAACCTGCCAATTTCATCTTAAGACTTTTTTCTCTCTGCTGTGAATATCATCCACAGTTTCGGTTCAGTACCATCTGCTACATATCTTAGGACTCCCAAACAACAGCCTTTTCCTTCCAAACAGCAATCATTTAGAGTCATAAAATCCCCCACTGCGTTGGTATAATTTGGGAAGCATCACACAATCACAAATTTCATTTAATGTTTCTCTCCTGACTATTTTACTTACTTCTTCTCTTTCATTTTTATTAGCATTTTGAGCCAAAGCACGCTGGATAGAATTGTTCTCTCTTTTCCTGCTGATTTGAAAGCAATAAAACACAAAGAGGAGGCAGCATGCTGAATTTTCTGTGCTGTGATACTCTGTTCTTCAGATGTTTACACCTTTCTGGAAAACCTTTGTCATCAGTTCTCTAGTTTTTAAAGACAAGGGTAAATTCCAATGCTGGAGTGGCAACTGGTTTGAAGACAACTGAGTGAAGACAAGGGTAGATGGTGGTGATTTTTCTTAATGTCCTTGGGAACAACATTTCAGACATTTCAAATACCCAGGTCTGAAAGGAAATTATCTGTTTCAGAAATTTCCCCAAAGTTTGAAAAAAAAAAAAAAAACTTTCACAATCCTCTAGAATATTCTAAATTAAAGAAATAAAGTGCAGTCACACTTTCAAAACACTTCCAGGAGCATATCCTTTGTAACTGTGTGCATACTGAGTTTTTCGTGTTCCACAGTTCAGCATCACAGAGCACAAATGCTCACTAGAACTAGACTGGCACTGCTGTATAATTAGGAATGTTGCCAGCACATGGCACTTCAAATGTCCCTCGTGCATGTAAAATTTTATATTTTTTTTTGTTTATTTATGCAGGAAAATATTAAAGGAAAAACTAAATGAAAATTGACTCCAGATCTGCTTAAAATACATTTGTGGTTTCCCAGCTGTTTTGTAAATTCCTGGCTGAAAATTCACTATACTCTTTGTTATTACAAGAAGAGAACACCATAACAAGATTATGAATTAGTGCATTGTTTGAGGAGATATGAGTGGCTGAGCTGACCCTGTCTACTTGAAAATAACCAGAACTGTGATTATGGTCCAGCAAACTTACTTACAAAAAGCCAACAGTAGTCAGGTGTATTTGGACAAAAAATATAATATATATTATATATTATAATAGCATAATGCCCATCAGGCTGGGGATTTTAATATTTTTATAGTTGTTATAGAGGAATGCAGTTTGACTGAAAAAAAGCCAATTAAATAAGATTCCAGGAATCACTGCACAGTTCTTGAAACCTGCAATAAGGTCAAACAGCTAGCATGAGATGAAACATAAAATTATCTCTGTTTGAAATGATTGCTCTAGATTTCCCCAGCTGTCATGGTGCAGAAATAGCAAAGGTATTTGTTTTTTTATTTTTCTTTTTTTGTTGCTTGGTTGTGTTGGTTGGTTTATTGGTTGGTTTGTTGTCACACAAATCTACTACAACATAGAATTAAAAGTTTTGTACCTAAACCACAGCTCAAGCCTTATGAGGTTGATAATTCAATATTAATGAAACAGAATTTCCAGAAGCATGTGTGTATTTCATGTTAGAAAGAAGTGCTGAAAAACTAAATAAATGCTTAGATATCATGACTTTTCAAAACTAGTTTTCCTTCAGCAGTGAGGTTTTTTCACAAAGCTTCAGGACTTAGCAGTTCACCATTTAATTTAAAGACTTTTGAAAAAGCAAGTTGCTACCTCCTGCTTTTGAAATAAGTTGCAACCTGGTCCTTTTGGGCAACTTCATAGTTCATCTGTGGCCCCTTAACATCACTTGCTCTTTCACTTCTTGTTGCAGGGCAGTAAAAAGCATCCTGTGTTGCTTCAGTCGTTCTTTCTTCTCATGTCCTGAGTAAAAATTGTTTCTCTGGGAATAAATATTTCTTAACATTCTGATATCCTTCTTAAATGAAAACACAGCAGGAGAGAGTAGAGAAATAGGAAACTGTATGTTGGGATCAACAGCAAAACAAATTCTCCCTGATGACTGCGGACAAAAGCATTCAGAATATAAGGCAGGGAGGAAATTAAATAGAAGATATTTTGGTCTTCTTTATGCAAAGAATGAACCTTTTTAAGTTTCTGTGTCACACTACCTTAACTTGAATGATTTCATAACCAAGATTCATCTGGTTCAGTGGAAACTTCATAAAAATGCATCTTACTTTTTTAGCCACGGTGCCAAAAGACACATGGGATGCTTCTGCTCTATGACTTTGTAACTGCATTAGCACCATAAGTTTTTTTTATATGTATTATGCCTCCTAAGCAGAATCTTAACAGGAACAACATAACATGTCACTTTAAAGCAATAAACAAACTTGTTATATAAAGCTTCACTGGAACATATTCTCATACTCAGCATCTGAAAGCCACTGTTTAAAGCAAAGAACCTATTCAAGTAAATTTATATTTATCTGAAGTTGAATGTGTGCTAGTCTTTTAATCTCTTTATAAATTGAAGGAGTTATGTTTTGGGTGTTGGTTCTCCCTGACATCAGAAGTCACAAGCACGTTTGCATGAATGCAAAACAGGTACCTAGAGAATCCTGTACACAATAAGGCAAATAATCACATTTATAAAGAACCAGTCTCATCACTGCATTGATGGAGAACACAGGAGCTGGTTACAAGAGGGAGAAAATTACACAGAAGAGTTTGAAGAACATGTGGAAAACAAACAAACAGACAAAACCCCAAACCAGATCAAAACAAAGCAATCTAAGTTAAACTTGGATTATATTTTATGCGCAAAAATATCAGTTTCCTCCTTTAATTTCTTTTTTACCGAGTTAAAAATATGAAAATCTTTTCTAAAACAAGGGCCACCTACAGAGTAACCAATTCATGTTATGGATGAATTCTGCTTTTAAAAAAGTGATAATTAAAGCAGGAAACATTTCTGTCAGCTTCATAATAAATGTAGGCTATTCTCTCTCATGTCTTTGGTTAGTCTTTTGAAAGCAGGAAAAGTAGGGAGGAAAAAAATCATGTTACTAATTGCAAACAAGTCTCTCTCTCTCTGCTCAATTAAAATTTAAACTAAGTGGAATAATTGTACATATGGCAGGCATAATAACAACAGCAATAACATCCTGTTCAATTCACTGTAATGGAAATCTTCTCCTGCTGCTAATGGTATATAATAGCACCAAATTAAAAGAATTGAATGAAATAGCAGGTAAAAAAAATATGGTCCCCTAAGAAGCCTTGTACAATCAAAAAATCAGCACCTGACAGGACCTCAGAAAATAAGTTTGTGACTGCAAGATGCAAGAGGGTTTAGCAAAGGACAGACTTCATCACAGAAATCTTAGTTTCCTGGTGTATAGAATAAATGTCTCCCAGCAGAAAGGGTGCAAGATCCAATTGCAACAGTGACAGATTTCTGAGCCTCATGAATTCCAGACCTCAAAAGAGTAGGAAAGAACCTTTTGAGTCACATCAGATTATACTGAATGTCCTGAGCTCTATGTTCAAAGGACACATAATACAAAACAGCTATTCACTAAAACCTGACATCAGACTTCATTGCGATCCTTGCTGACTGACCAGCAAAAATTCTGTCATTAATATAGTATTTTTGGTTATTTGGGACATCAGGAGCTATATCAAAATTGTCAACCTGTTTTGCAAATGTAGGCAGTCCAAATCCCAAGAAAAGGCTTCAGTTCCTGGTCAATTAGAATACTGTGAAATGATACTCACTACAAAGTTAATGGATATCACCAATGGGCATCTCATTCCTCAGTATCTGGTTAGCTGACTGGTGTAATCATGTATTCTATGCCACTAAGCCTGAGCATTATGATATTTTGTTCCTTAATGTCCATTCTCTCTGATTTCTTTAGGCCTTAGGTAATACAGGTTCTAGAAGGAAAAAAAACCCCAAATTCCTTTTTTTCTTATTACCTCTTTTTTGTTCTGTTTTGGGTTGAGGTTTTTTTTACTTGAGACCTTTGATAGACAAACCAGGTGCATTCTTCAAATGCACAACATGGTCCTCTAGACCAGAGGGCTGAAGGGAGGGAGAAAGGAAAGGGAGGGAACAGAGAGAAGGACATATTGATTCATCACCCAGTCAGTCTTAATTGATTAGGTTACTGTCAAGCCTTTATTTCTTCTTCCTCTTCTGGGATAGTGATTTCTTCCTGAAGATAAGTTGCATTTAAATTTCTGAGGTAAAGAGAGACACAGTAGGCATGGAAACAAAAAGTTCTGTCCTGGCTTTGGGGGGATGACAGTCTGATGTCTACATCAAGTTAACATGAAAATATCTGATAGACACTTCATGGTTATTCAGAAAGAGCAGTCTGATAATTATGCAAATCAAATCCTCAAGTCAGAGTGCAAGGATTTGCATAATTGAGAAAGAAACATACAATTATGGGTCAGTGATGGCACAGCATCAAAGGCACTTCAGGGGAATTGTTTCAGTACCACTGTAGTTAAACCAAAAATGTGGAGTAATTGATGGGAAATAGATGCAGCCTGTTGAGCCTAAGTCTACAGAAACATGAAACCTATGTAAAATCTCATTCTGTGCATCAGAATGAAGTACCAATTCTGGGCTGCTGAGGGTCTGCACAGTTCCACTGATTGAAATGGAATTACCCCCATTTCAATAGCCAGAAGCAGAGCTCTGGTAGAATAAGTCAGTGTGCTGTGCAATCAAGGTGGAGACATGAAACAAATAAAAAACTTCTTAGAGAATTACAGCTTTTTTTTTTTTTCTTCCAGTTCATTCTGCATCATGAAACGTGGTTTGGGATCAGGATTAGCTCTGATGTTGTGGAGACCTGATTGATTCCCCACCACTATTGAAGGTGCAAGGGGAGAAAGTATCATATTCTCACCATTCCTCTGCTTGTGCTACACACCAGCCTCCACAGGACTTTGAAGGTTTAGGATTAGTGGCAGATGTTTGGGCAAAACATTTTTGCCCACAGATGGGATTCAATAACTTAGTGATGCCTTCTGGTATCACCTTTTTTCCAGTTACAACAGGCAAGTACCTGGCCTACTTAGTTTGATTTTAAATTTCACAAATTCATACACATTTCATTAAAAAAAAGGTAGGAAATAACACCATAGACTCACCACATCTGTCCCAATAATATTTTTTAAAAAATACTAAAGACCTTGATACAGGCTGCATAACAGAGTATGAGCTAATTTTCAGCTAAATACTGAGAGATTATATGACTTTCTCTATATCTCTTCAGACCCTGAAAGTTTGCCCCTCCATTCCTGTTCATGATGTTCAGATTTGTCTTTTCTTCAAGTAAGAACTTCATTAAGGTTTTCCAGCTCAAATATTCTACTTTCTAAATTATTTAGCTTCTTGCCAAACATTGCTTCCATCTCTATTTTGCAGTTCATGCTGGAATCAATGCCTCCCTTAAATGTCAAGCAGGAAAAGGGAATTAATGAAGTCTTGTAAACATGTCAGACATTACAGACATTTCTCAAACTATTCAGTAAAAAGAAAGGAAAGCATGCCAGACTCAAGATAGAAACAAGATTGAAAAAAAACACTTATAGTCTGTATTTGTTCACTGGGACAGGGAACTGGGGGAGCAGGGAAAGATTTCTCTGAGTGAAAGATGACAATTAACCTTTGGTGGCACCTCACACATTATATCACAGGAGATGTAGGGATTCCCAATATGAGAAAAGTAGCTTTGTCCTTACCATTAGCACTTTTTATTTTCCTGTTGAAATTTCTCCCATATGCTTAGCCAAAAGAGGTCTGTCCTTTTATTCATTTGTTTGCTTGCCTTTTTTGTTTGTTTTGTAAAAGCCTAAGCAAACCCACAGGATGGTTGCTGTTTAGGTGGCTGAAATATGTCTAAGGCCAACAGAAATAACAGGATCGTGTCAATTGTCAATGTAGTGTTGGGTTCATCTTGTTTATTTGCTCTATAAGGACTGTTTCCTACCTGTTGGGTTATAAGATAGATAGATAGATGTTTTCTTGAAAATCTTTCTCCTCCTCTGTGCAGTTTCTCCTCCAATACACTGTTATTTCACAAGCAATTAAAAACACACCACGCAAAACATCACAGAAATGACATTTGCAAAACAATTCAATCAAAGTCTGTGAGTGTTCAAGATATGAAACATGTACTTCATAATTACAAACTACTGGTTGTGACACAAATCTGCCACACCAAAATACTTCTCTAAGGCAGACTCAGAAAATGTAACAAATATAAAACAAAGGAATAATAGAAAGTGCTACATTAAAGCAGAGAATATATGCTACTCAGCATGAGTTACACTTTATGTCACCATTGATTTTGAAAGGAACATATTTTCTCTTTTTAAATTGAAACAGCTTTATTTTTTGATGAACAGAAGAATTTAAGTATAAAAAAGGTATTTTGAACCCCATGACTTCTTTTCCCACTGGCCCTATACTAGCATTTTCCAACTCATATTTTCATTACATTAATTAATCCTAGTAAGTGGAAAGATTCTGTAATAAATTTAGCAGAAGCTATTCTTCATTTTAGCAGAAGCCATAAAATAAATCTATTTCCGCTCTTATCTGAAAGTTTGTATAAAACACTGGGACTTGTTTTGCTTTCATTCAAGTTAGTTTGAAAACAAAATAAAATCCAGAACTGAACCTAAAAAATGCCTCTTCTTAGTTGCACAGTTTGCATGCCGTGGCCCAGGAACCCTGCAATTCTCATATGCATGGAATTATAGAGTCATAGAATCATGGAATTGTTAAGGTTAAAGTTGGGAAAGACCTCTAAGGTCCTCGAAGTCCAGCTGTTAACCCAACACCACTGTGGTCACCACTAGACCACCACATCCACTAAACCAGTGTCACGTCCACACTTTTGAACACTTCCAGGGATGGTGATTCCACCACTACCTGGTCATTCTGTTCTAATGTTTGACCACCCTTTCAGTGAAGAAATTTTTCCTAATATCCGACCTAAACTTCCTCAGGTGCAACATGAGGCTGTTTCCTCTCGTTCTGTCCCTTCTTATTTGTTGGAAGAGCCAAAGCCCACCTCACCACAACCTCCTTTCACAGAATCACAGAATCACAGGATGGTTTTGGTTGGAAAGGACCTCAAAGATCGTATAGTTCCAATCCCCCTGCCATGGGCAGGGACACTTTCCAAAAGACCAAGTTGCTCAAGTCCCCATCCAGCC